TCCAAATTTACTCAGGACCCCGCTCCTCAGACTTCCTCACAATTTACGCAGGATCGGTGCTCCCGCCTGTGACTTCCTCGCAATTTAGTCAGGACCCCGCTCCCATCTGAGACTTCTTCACAATTTACTCAAGAACGGCGCTCCCGCTTGAGACTTCCTCGCAATTGAATCAAGACGTCCTCGCAATTTAATCAAGACCACCGCTCCCGCCAGAGAACCCTTCACATTCTATTCAGGAAGTGCGCTCTCGGCTGTGATTTCAGTGCAATGTAATCAGAAATCGCGCTTTCGACGCTCAGCAAACACGCTGCGCCAAGGACGCCGCTGAAATTTACATAGTAATCGCGGTCTCGCCGTACTCGGGCATCCCGCTTGAATGTCCCACCCGCCCGACCCGCCCGTCAGGGGACCGCCCGCCCGTCGTGGGCTCCCGCCCGAGACTTCCTTCGGGAACGGCGCTTTCGTCTAGGACTTCCTCGAACGTTCACGCTCTTATCTTCCTGCTCCTCCTCCCTCTCCCTCCTCCCTCCTCCCTCCTCTCCTCCCTTCTCTCTCCCCCCTCTCTCCCCTCACCCTTATGTCTCTCTCTCTTTCTCTCCCTCCTCTCCCTCCTCCCTTCTCCCTCCCCTCCTGCCTCCTCCATCCCTCTTTCTTTCTTTCTTTATTTTTCTCTCTCTCTCTCTCTTTCCCTTCTCTCTCTCTCTCTCGTTTTACCTCTATTATCTGTGTTTTTATGTTTCTTTTGTTTTCTCCCTCTCTGCCTCGAATTAACCGCCCACCTCTTCGCTCCTTCTCTCCTGGCGTTTTCACTCTTCCTTCGTCCCTCCCCTCCCTTCCTCCCACTCTCCCTCGTTCTCCCCCTCTACTTGTTGCAGGACCCACACCAATTCCAATGGCGGTCACATGTACGCCGACGAAGGACTGTTCGCCCGTTCAGGTTTGCCCGCCTGTCTAAGCCCGCCGCCCCCCGCAAAGAGAAATAATCCCCCCAAAGGGGGTGTGATCGAAGACAAAAAGGGCGGGTATCGAGGGTGTGGGGAACTCGTTTTGAATGACGCGCGGGCAAGCAAGAGCGAACAGTCTTAGAATTATCGTTGCTGTTGTTGTTGCTGCTGATGTTACGGTTGTGGTTGTTGTGGTTGTGGTTGAGGTTGTTGTTGCTGTTGCTATTGTTGAAGTCGGGGGAGTCGGGGGCCAGGGGGCCCATCATTGCCGCAATACCTTTCCTTGTAAAAACAAGCAGGGTGCGACCTCCAGGAGGAGCACTTGAACAGAGAAACGCACAGTGCACCGGGGTGGGAACATGAGAGTTCCAAGCAGAGTACCTGCGGGGGCTTCAAAAAACCGACCGACCATCTCGGCAAACGTCGAGAACGGCAGAGAGAAACCACAGTCATTCGAACACGCTGCTCCCCTGACGCAGTCTCCCTCGACGACGACGGCCCACGACGGCCTCTCGAGCCCTCCTCGAGCTTCCATGGGTCCCTCCTGGGGGCTCCGAGTGGCCTCCCGAGGCCCACGCATGGCAAACCACGCCGAAGAGCCTCGCTCCTCGGGCATCCGCCCACGTGCTGCCTGGCAGCGCTCTGCTGCACGTCTTCCAAAGGCCCCTCCGCGTCGTCCTGCTCCCACTCCTCTTAAACTGGAGGGAAGATACTCCAGATTTCGTAATAAAGGGAGGGGGGTCTCATTTCGGGGGGGGGTCTCTTCCAGGCTATCTTGGAGGGCCTGGAGGGTCTGGGGACGATGTTTTGGAGGGTTCTCCCACGGGGGAGGTCTGAAATGGCTTGTCTTGGAGGGTCCAGACCCCCTCCCTTTTTTACGAAATCTGGAGTAACTATGCACATACACCGATTCTGGCCAGGCCCATCCTGAGCCCAGGATCGGTGCGTACGCCTTCGTGGCTTGGCCAGGGAGGCACATACAGCAATCCTGGGCCCTGGGACGGGCCTGGCCAACATCGGTGTATGTGCAGAGGTCTGCTCGCCCGATAAACCATACTCTTCGAGTGGGGATTGGCAGCAGTGGCGGCGGTTGCGAGTGAGGCCGCTGCGCCCACGATGCCCTCCTCGAGGGCGGCGGCTCGCGGCCTCGCCCGAGCACGCGCAATGCCACATCATGTTTGGTGACCTTCGTCGTCCCGAAGAAGGCGGGCTGGGGCAATGCCGCGCCATGCTGCCTTGCCGCCACGTAGTGCCGTTGGTGCCGTGCCGTGACGCGCGGAGAGGGGCAAAGCCGCGCCGTGCCGCGGTGCCGAGCCGTCCGTCACGCAGTGCCGCTGTTGCCGTTCCGTCGCGCGGTGCCGTCGCGCCGTGCCGTGCCGTCGTGTGTAGGTTGGCTGTGCGCTGGCCTGGCGGTCCACCCGGCTGGGGAGGGGTACAAATACCAGCCAAGCGCGCTGTCCAAGGTGGTGGCCGCTTGGCAGCCGACGGGGTCGGTCTTCCGCCCGCCCGCCCTGGGGTGGGGATGTTTTGGGCATCCCAAAACCGTGTGGTGACAGACCGTGCGGTGACCTCGGAACCTCAAGATACCTCACCGCACGGTCCGTCACCGCAAGGTCTTGGGAACCTGGAAGCCCCTGTCGCCCAGGACATCCCCGGAGAGGGACTCGAGTCCCAGAACCGTGTGGTGACCCCGAATCCCCACCGACTCGCCACACGGTGTGGTCACCACACCGTCTGGGGGCCTCCGGATGTTGGGGTTGTGAGCTGGCTGGGCGGTGTCTTCGGGCGGCTCTCGTCCCCACAGGGCCCGCACAGCAGCGCCGGACACACACACACACACACACACACACACACACACACACACACACACACACACACACACACACACACACACACACACACACACACACACACACACACACACACACACACACACACACACACACACACACACACACACACACACACACACACACACACACACACACACACACACACACACACACACACAACACACACACACACCACACACACACACACACACACACACACACACACACACACACACACACCACACACACACACACACACACACACACACACACACACACACACACACACACACACACACACACACACACACACACACACACACACACACACACACACACACACACACACACACACACACACACACACACACACACACACACACACACACACACACACACACACACCACACACACACACACACACACACACACACACACACACACACACACACACACACACACACACACACACACACACACACACACACACACACACACACACACACAAGCCATCAGAGGGCGCGCAGCCAGGCCCCAGAGCCACCGGGGGGCCAAGCCTCAGCCGCCTCCTCTCTTCCTTGGCCTCCACCTCCTCCTCTTCCTGCTCCTCGTGGCCCCACCCATCGTCAGTCACACTCAAGACCCAAGAGGTGGCCCAACCAAGGAGAAAACCGCGAGGCCTTCCATCAAGGCCAGAACCAATCACGAGCTGGAGGGACTTCACTGGCTGCCTCTCTAGACGCTGCTTGCACTGTGGGGGTCCTGCTCCGGTTGTGACGGGGACTGGGTGGGCCCACCGGCTTTCTCCACGTTGCCACCACGCGTGAGCGCCTCGTGGGCGCCACGTGCGCTGGGCGGGCTCGCCGAGGTTGCGCCACGTTCCCAGAGAGCCAAGGTCGTGATTTTTTCAATGCGGGGTCCCCGGAAGTCTCGACCCATTGCCCCAGGACAACTTTTTCACCCTGAGTCGTTTGTTGACGGCCCCGGGGCCCGGCGAGGGCCTCTATAGAGGCAGAAAGCTGCGGAAAACCTCCGTCTGGATGTTTCTGGGCTGCCGCCCGTTCTGGGCTGCGCCCGTGCCCGTTTCCGGCTCGAAGCGTTGGATCTCTGGGCTGCCGCCCGTGCCGCCTCGTGGGCGCCCCCCGCCCGTGCCGTCTCGTGGGCGCCCCTGTGCTCTGAGCTCGCACGTCGGTCGGGCAAGTATTTTTGTTTGTCGGTCGGAAGAGTAGGCAAGAACACATGAAGTCGGAGGGCGGATCAAGCAGGTTGGCTCCATGCCCTCCAAGAGAATCACAAGGCACAGCAGGAAGGCGCTTGATGTAGATGGGAATCTGAGAACTTAAGAATGCCTACGTTCAGTGACTGGCGCGTGCGCGATATAGCTTTCGCCACAGCGCTTGCAACACACAGCTTGCACATCGTAGCTTGCACCACATAGCTTACATCCCGAAACTTCCACCTCGACAATGCAATAGCGTACTCTTTGGGGCTCACGCTAGATAACATTAGTTTGTTGCGTGCCCTTGCCCCTCCCGGCTCAAGATGATTCCGTCAAGGTCTGCGGGGAGACAAAAGGATTGCAGCAACTCCTCCAATGGCGACCCAGGATAGCCCCGAAAGGACTCCAAGACGGCCAACGACAGCACCAATATGGACCGAAGCGGGCCCTTAGACAGCCCACAGAAACCTCCAGACGGCGGAGAGGGGCCCAAGACGGCGCCAAGGCAGCCCAAGAGGGCCCCCAGAGGGCCTAATAGTATCCCAAGTGGGCCCGAACATTGCCCCACATCAGCCCAGAAGAGGTCCAAGACGGCCCAGGTAGAACCTCATGAGAGCTCCAAAGGACTAGAGACGAGAGGTGTCACAAGTTACAGCCTTCTTGGCATCGTCACACTGAGTCTTGCGCTTTCACGGTGGCGGAACTTGCCGCAGGTATCGCGACCATCCCCTCAAAATCACTAGGGCACATTGTGGCCAATTGTTTGAAGCCGTGGCGGCAAGAACCTCCAGGAATCGCATCCAGGAGGCGCCCGGAACACTCGACGCAGTCCCAATTCCACGGATCTCGATACTCGAGCCGCGAGCCTCGAACCATGAACGTTGAAGATCCTCGAACCAAGAACTGAGATCCTCGAACCACTCACCTCGAGACAATCCTAGAAGCGTCATCGACGGCCCTCGAGCCACGAACCTCGCTCCTCGACCCTCCGTGGCAGCATGCCGCCTCCAGGAGCCGCACGGACCCCTTGACGCAACCGTCCACGAGCGGGCCCAGGCCCTGGAAGAGCCGCGCAGCTTCGTCTACCGTCGCGGCGCTGCTTTGTATGGTGGTCTGAAGGACCTGCGGGGTCAAAGGCGGGAGGCGAGGAAAAAGGGGCAGGGCAAGGAATAGGATATCTATATACATACATATATATGATACTGGTGATTATGATGATGCTGCTGATGCTGCTGCTGATGATGTTGCTAATACTGATACGGGTGGTTATAATGATGGTGATGGTGGCGGTGATGCTGACGATACACTGATGGTGGTGATGATGATGATGAATATGACGGTTATGGTGGTGGTAATGAGAATGATAATTATAATGGTGACGCCGATGATGATGACTATGCTGATAGTGATGCTTATCTTGCTGACGACAATGATGTTGATGATGAGGAAGTGGATGATGAGAACGACGACGACGATGATCATGATGATGCTGATGATGATGGTGATGGCGGTGATGACGATGATGCTGGTGATGATGGCGATCACGTGTGATGCGTAGGATGATGAAGAGGAAAAAGACATACAATGGTGGGAAGAAGCAAAAGGAGGAGGGAACTGGGGGCGATGGGCAAGGATAAGGACAGCTCGGGCGGGGTATCTACAAGTGCTATCAACAAGTATAAAGCAACGCGCCAAACGGCACATTGGTTGGAAATCGCATGCGTGAGTGTATGTACAGCAAAAAGCTGGCGGCGTCAGTGCGAGGGGCAAGGCACAACCAACGCCGCCGGCTTCGGTTCCATGAACAGGGATTGCCTCAACATCTGTGCGCACATGCTCGACCCCGCCAAAAAACCCACGCAGTGGTCGACCCGGGAGAGCAGCGGCAACAGGAGGCACACGAGGTAGCGACGCCAGGGCACCAGGACGAGCCCGGAACCAGGGGGAGGAGAGCCAGCGACACGGGACGACGCCGGAGGGAGGAGAGGAGGACGAAGCCTGGGAGACCGCCCCAGGGACGAGCAGGAGAGTAGGCAGAGGATCGACGCAGGACGGCGGACGAGGGGACGACGACATCACCTGGAGGGCAAGCGGGCGGCGGAAGCCAGGGCACCATTCAGAATTAGATGCTTCATGTCCTAAAACATGCGAATCAAATCGTACATCATCATGCCTGGCCAATTTAGTGTCAATGCAAACAGTACCTCAACAATGCTTCTTTCCATGCGCGTTGATTAAAGGTGCTTTGCCCGATCGTTTGTCGGACGGCCTCTTCCTGGCTCAGGGCCCCGCCGTGCATGCGCGTTGTTTTTGTCAGCGCCTGCGCGTGCATGCCCGAAGCCCACTGTAATCTGGGACGCCCTGGCGGCGTCTCCCAGGGTCGAAGAGACGATATTTCCCGCTCTGGGAAACACTCTGGCGAGGCAGCGATTCGTTGGGCAGGGCAGACAGCTCTCCATAGTAAAACAAGTGCCTGGCGAGAACGCGTTGGCTTAAACATTGCGTTGGAAACGTGCCACATCATCGAATGTGCAACGTTGATCATCTTACACAAACGCTGCGCTTGAAAAGCGTCGGTCTCAACTCGGTTCGCCGTGTGCAGACAGAATGTGTTCGAGGCTGCACATGTGGGTCTCGACACAACGCACGCCCAAAAAAATGGTCCCTCCTCGCCCTACTTATGTTGGCATGTCTCCAAGCAGCTTGCAGTGCATCGAAAAATGCGCGCGCTTCACCTACATGCTGGACAACTGATGCCTCTGTTTTCCCGTCGGCCCGGAAGAGGCTGCCCAGGTAAACCGTCGAGGTGACAGTCTGGAACGTCATGCCCTGCGGCGTGTGGGTGTCCACGTTGTGCGGGTTGCGCAAATGCACGGTCGTGTCCCACTTGGGCTCCGGCTCGTATGTGCGAGCCCTGAAGATCAGCCCGTCCAAAAAGAATTGCAAGCTTGCGATATCATTGGACACAAGCGCCGCGTCGCCAACGTACGCCACGTCGGCATTGAAAGCATCCGCGCGCGAGCGTCCGAACTGCGAGGTAACGTCTTGCTCGACATCCCCCATCAACACGCTCAGAAGGAATGATGAACAAATGCGGGCTCAGGGGGTGCCCCTTGCGCAGTGCCGTTGGACTGCGTGTGCAGGTTGCTGCAGCCATACTCGTCCTGCACCTCGAACGTGCGACCGTCGCACATGGCAAAGGTCATCTTGATGCACGGGTCGGCCAAGCCAAACCCGTCAAAGGCTGTCAACAACGCGGAGGGGTCCAACCGACCCGGTCGAACGCCCTGAACCAATCTAGCAAGACAGCAGACATATTGCTGTCTTTTCCCGCTGGCGCTTGCTCGATGTACCTGTGCATAGTGAGGAGGGCATGCCAGGCGCCCCACTTTCGAAACCCAAACTGGCTCGGCCGAAGGCGTTCGTCGGCGCTGCCATCTGAGATTTTGGCCAGCAGAAGCGCTGCCAGGATCTTGTAGCTCACCGCCAACAGAGGGATGGGCCGGCAGTTGGCCGGCGAAGACTCGTCCCCATTCTTCTATATTGCGCTGGCCCGGCTATGCCGCCACGTCTGCGGTACCTGTTTCTGCCGCCATCGGTGGTTCAGCATGTCCCAGAGAACAATGCAAGCATAATCGCTGCCGCGAGAATTGTCCAAAAAGTCGGGCGGGACGTGGTCTGGTCTGGCTGCTTTCAACGCCAGGAGTTTGCCGAGCATCTCGCGCGGTTCGGCTGCAGATCCAGATCCCGCGCAGACCTCTGTCCCTGTGGAAGGGGCCGCGAAGGAGAGGGCGGGGACCACTGCGCATCTGAGGGGTAGGTTGCGATGGCCTCTGCTCTGTGCGCGCTGTCCACCAGGTCGGCCTTGCTTGTCATCTCTCAATCTTCCTTGGGGCTGGACCCCTCTGTTCTTGAACCGCTGGATGCTCTCCCAGCTTCCGTCTGCGAGCGCGTCATCCAACCAAGCCGCTCTGCCTTTTCGGGCAGACTGTCGAACCTGACGATTGGGCTCTCGTTCAAAAATCAACTGGCGCGATGTCTGGGCTTGGCTTCGCAGCTCAATCTGGTCCAGCGTTCCCCTGCGGATGCAAGACCTCTTTGCCTGCGCCTGCCGGCCGTCCAGACTCTGTTCGGCAGTTGGTTCCAGACATCGACCAACGAGTTTCGCATGGTCGTCGAATTCTGGCGGAGCGGGTCCCGCTGCTGCCGCCTCGACAAATGAGCCAACAGCTTGTTCTGCGACAGAAAGCAAGATGAAGAGGGAGAGCGAGAAAGAGAGAGAGAGAGAGAGGAAGAGAGATGTAACGAGAGAAAGAGAACCATATATAAAGAAAGCAAGAGAAAAGGGAGAGTAAGAGAGAAGCATCTGATTCACAACAGAGAGGGAGAGATAAAAAGAGAGAGAACGAGAGAAAGACAAAGAGAGTGATAGAGAGACAAAACGCTCAGAGGGACCAGACCTGAGGGAGACGACTGAGGAGGGAGGACGAGGAGGAAGAGTGGAGGGAGATGTGGGAAGAAGGATACTGACAGCGACGACGACCAAGAAGGAAGAGTGGGGAGAGAGGGAAGATGAGAGAAGAGGAAAGAAGAGGAAGAGAAGGGATGATGAGAGAGGGGCCGGGAGGGAGAGGGGGGCACAACAGGATGATGAGGAGGAGGAGTATAGGTGGGGAGGGGAGGCAGAGCTCCTTGACGCGGGAGGGGGATGGACCGGTCTGAACGAACCTGGAGGAAGGATGATGAGGAGGGGAGGTACTGGTTCAGAGGACGGAGCGACAAGGACTCTGGTCCGGACGACCTGAAGGGAGGATGGGAGAAAGAAAAAAACAAGGAGTGAGCACGAGGGCGAGGATGAGAGGAGGGATGAGGAGGGTGATGAGGAGAAAGAAAGGGTGTCCAGGGAGTCCCAGTAGTCGAAATCTTGCTACGGGAACCCCGCACAGTGAGCGAGGCCAATGTGTTCGAGGGTCAGGCTTGCTTGGTCCCGACCAGACACAACTGGAGGAGCTGTGATCTGTAACCCCCCTGGGGAGACCCATCCATCATATCGAAGATCCTTGACAGGTGTGACAAGGCCGATGGGCCTCCAGGGGTTCAATGCGCCCCAAGGGGGATCCCCAAGCTGAGTCTCTTCTGTGCCCTGCTTAGGCCCGAGAGGCAAACCTGAGGGGCACCCTTCCTGCCGGCCCCCTCCGAGCCAAGCGCGCTCCCTCCGACGCGCTGACCCCATGACCGCTGACATCGTGCCGCCGCCGCCGCTGGCATCGTCGCCGCCGCCTTCGTCGCCGTCGTCGCTGTAATCGCCGCCGCCTGCCGCCGTCGCCGCCGCCGACGCCGCCTCCGCTGCCGCCCTGACGTGGGCGCCGTCGCCACCGCCGCCGCTGCACCGAGGACGCCGTCGCCAGCTTGCTGCCGCCGCCGCTTGCTGCCCCGCGGCGGCGGCGGCCTTGAGGAACGTGTCCAGCACGGGGCGCGCCTTGCGGGCGGCCAGCTCCGCTGCCTCGCGCGGGGTGCCCGGAGGCGGCCGCGGCGGCTTCGAGAGCATTGGGGCCATCGCTCCGCGGCTGCCCTGCGGGTGCCTCGGGGCCGACGGCGGCGGCGTTGGCAACGACGACGCGACGCGGTGCCCCGTCTCCTCCTCCTCCTCCTGCTGCCCCCTCTCCTCCTCGCCTGCCGCTCGTTTGCGCCTCTTACGCTGCCGGGGCGAGGGTGGGAGGTGGCCGTGGCCACCCCCTGACCGACAACACAGGAGTGACACCTCCGTCCCCCTCCTGCCCCGATCCCCCCTGCCCAGGGCCCAGGGCCTCCAGCTCGGGCAGCTGGAGTGCTGCCCGGGAGGAGGTGGAGGAGGAGGAGGCCGGTCCTCCGGCGGAAGGGAACGGTGGAGCGGAGGGGCCACGGCCTACCAAGCTGGTGCCCTCCTCCTGATGGGATAATCTTTTCTCCTTCAATTGGCCAGATCCCTGCTCTGAGGGTCTGGGCGGCAGTAGGGCTCACGGAGGCGGACGGCTCGCGTGACCGCCGTCGCTCCACAAGCAGCACGAGTTAACACTGGGAGACCTGCATCGCTTGTTCCAGTTGTCCACAAGGTGTGCTCATCCTTTGGTTGCTGAGCCGCTCGGGGCACATCTTACATTGATGCAGACAGATTTCGGCACGCCATTTTCGTTAAGAGCTGGCTCCCTGACCTGAGGCAGTACACAGCGTCACGCCTTATCTACCCCCCTCTTCCCAAGTCCCCTCTCTCCTCCCCCCTCTCCTCCCCATTTCCATCCTGTAACCCTCCCCATTTGCCCTTTACCCCTTCCCCTCCTCCTGCCGCCGCCGCCTCTTGCTCCTGCGTATGTGCTCTTCCGTCTGTCCCTCCACCCTCTTTGGGGAGAGGATGGAAGAGGGAACACAACGATGAAGATAATTGGGCAGGAGAAGGATCGGGAGATGACAGGATGAGCACGACGACGACTGCCACAACGACGGCGACGACTACCACAACGACGACGGCGACGACGACGACTGCCACGACGACGACGACAACGACGCCCGACGGTATCTCAAGGCCTGCGAGGTCCTTCGCACGCATGTCTAGGAAACCTCCAGAAGCCCGCGCAAAGAGACTCCCAAAGGGCCACGCCAACTGGACTCCTCAACGTTTGTGCGTCGAGTTCGACCCTCGAAGCCTGAGCCTCAAAGTTCGAGGGCCGATGGCCGAGGTTTGGCCCTCGAGCTTTGAACTGGGTCCCTCGAGCTTCGAGCTCGAGCCTCAACATCTGAGGGCCGAGGGTCGAAATTTGGCACTCGAGGCGGCCCGGGGATCGGAAATGGCTGGGACCCGAGAAAGTCAGTGGGGGGGAGGAGCGAAGATGCCTCCCTCCTCCTCCTCCTCCTCCTCCACCACCTCCTCCTCCTCCTCCTCCTCCTCCTCCTCCTCCTCCTCCTCCCAATACTGTTTCGCCCCAGATCCGTTGGTGACGGCCCTGGGGAGCCCGAAAACGGCAGGCCAAAAAAGGTCCGAGCCTCCCCGAACCCAGAGCCTCGAGCCTGCCTCCCCTCCCGCCCTGCCTGCTGGCGGGAGCCAGTGCTGGGCCACATCAGACCCCCCGCGGGCTCCGACCTCGATCCTCAACAGTAAAATGCGTCGCCATGTCGCGTGGGAAACTTGCGTTTGACTTCGAGGAGGGTTGTGGCCCGATCCTTCGGTCGGGCATGTCCTCCTACAGGCGGAGCTTGGACGAACAATCAAAATACTCCAACAAGATTCGAGCATAGTCCGAAAAGACTCGAACACTAGTCCCCAGACTGTTCTAAAACTATGTTTGAGCAGTCCTCCTGTGGAGGGACGGGCCCGACCCGACCCTGGCCGCATCGACGGCGGCCGGCGTTGCTCCTGGGGGGGCCTCCCCTGCCTGCCTCGCGGCTGCGGGGCCAGAGGCGCGGCGGGCAGGCGCACGGCCGCCGGCTGCGCGCGCATGCGCGCGCCTGGGCGTCCAGGCCGCCGCTGAGCCGAGGCGGCGTCGGAGGTCCTCGCCTCCGCCGTCGCCGCCGCCGCCGTCGCCGCCGCCGTGCCCGCCGCCGTCGCCGTCGACGTCGCAGGCAATCGCCGTCGGCTTCGACGTCGTCATCGCCGCCGTCGTCGTGCTCGGCGCAATCGCCGCTGCTGCTCCAGGAGCTCGCCGGCCCCACGGACCAGACTGAGCCGCGCGAACGCCTCCGCGGAGAGGCTGGAGCTGTTTCTGGAGATCGCGCGCGCGTGCGGGCCCCCGGGATCGCTCAGACGAGAACTCCCCCGGCGAGGTCCCGGGCGATCCCCAGGGGGAGGAGGAGGAGGAGGAGGAGGAGGAGGAGGAGGAGGAGGAGGAGGAGGAGGAGGAGGAGGAGGAGAAGGAGGAGAAGGAGGAGGAGGAGGAGGAGGAGGAGGAGGAGGAGGAGGAGGAGGGCCCTGGCAGGGCCCCAGCAGGCCCAGGCCACGAGTGCCCGAACTCCTGGGCGCGGCCCTGGGGGCCTCTGGGCCGATCCAGGAGCGACCCGAGGCGCCAAAGAGGTGGCAGGCCCCTCGGCCTTAGGCCAAGAGCGCTCCAGCATGGCCCAAGTTGGTTTCAAGACAGCCCAACAGGCGCACCAGACGCTCCAGGAGGGCTCCAAGAGGAGCCCAAGAGGGTCCGAGAAGGTAGAAGCATTGATTTCGCTTTTTGTTTGCAAGATTTGGGCGTTCTCGCCTTGTCATGATTCCGACCGCACAGGACAGCCCGGGGGCTTCCAAGAGACCTTCAAAATCACCCCACGTCAGCCAAGAGCCTCCCGGGACGGCCCCGAGACGGCCCAAGAGAGCCCCCATTCGGCCCAACAGGCCTCCCAAGAGGGCTCCAGAGGCTCCCAGCAGGGCCTCATGAGAGGAAACCCGAGTAGACATGTCGAGCCTTCCCCGAAGCTTCGCCCCCGAGAACGCGAGAAGGCCCCCAAAAACCTCCTAAAAGGCCTTCGGAAACCCAGAATAAGCCACACGGGACCCCCAAGAGGCTACAGGGAGTGCCACTAATCCGACCAGAACCCTCCAAAGACTCCCAAAGAGGCGTCTCGCCAACGACCTGTTTTGGTCTCACATTTGCCCCATGAAGTCATCGAGAGGCCTCGCTTCCGATTCCTCCTCCTCCTCCTCCTCCTCCTCCTCCTGCGCCTCCTCCTCCTCCTCCTCCTCCTCCTCCTCCTCCTCCTCCCCCTCCTCCTCTTCTCCTCCTCCTCCTCCTCCTCCTCCTCTTCCTCCTCCTTTTCCTCCTTCTCCCTCGCAACGATCACACGAGCATACAGAGACTGTGATGCAATATGGGCGAGGCAAGTGGAACGCTTCGCTTCCCAGAGTGGTTCGCCCGACGATGAAGAGAATACCCGACGCAACAGACGAATGTCCACCAGAGCTGGAGGACTTGCGCAAACACGGGTGTCAGTCGTTCGGCTCCGTACGGGCCTGGGCGGAGTTCAGCCCCGAGTCTCCGAAAACGTGCCCAACACAACTCCATTGCACTCTGTTAGGCCAGTCCTGCACTCTGTCAGGCCTCCTGGAAGCCTTCCGGAACTAGGAGATGTCTGGAATCTTCGTGGAGACCTCTTCAGCCCTCTTGGACTGTCTGGGCGCGTCTCGAAACTCCGCCAGAGCTCTCTCGAGCCATTTTGAAACTCTCTTCGACAGTGCGGGGGCCTCTTCGAGCGCGCTTGGAAGAAACCTCTCAACAGATCTTCTCGAGGAAACTCCTGTCTGACGGCCGCTCCCCTGGCACAAGCGCCCCACCACCAGCGAACAGGGATCAGAAAAGGGCCAGTGGAATGAACGACGCGATCAAATCGTCGGAGGCTGGGGGTGAGGTCGAAGTTTTTTTTTTTTTTGTTTTGCGACGCGGCGCGCCCGCTTCGATTCCCGCAGCGCCTCAGCGCGCGCAAGGAGCCCAAAGGGCGCGCACGCCCCGAGGCGAGAGCGCGCGGCCTCTCCGCGGAACCGAGCAGGAGCCTGCCGCGTGGGCGCCGCGCGACGGGCACCAGCTCCGCACTGGCCGGAAGGGCCTGGCTTCCACCGCCGCCGCCACTGACTACCTACCAGACCACCCCAACCCAACCCGAAAACCCGAATTTGACCCGAATTTCGGGTTTGGGGGGGGTACGGGTCCCATGTGTTTTTTCCATGTTCCCCGACCCCCCCCCCACTGGAAATCGAGGATCAATCTGGGCCTTCGGGTTGGGTTGGGGTGGTTTGGTGGGTGGTGAGCCACTGGTCCCCCTCCCCCCCCCCCTGGGGGCGAGGTCGAAGTGGAACGGAGAGCCCCCCCACTGGGAAATCGGTCTCGGTCTCGGGCTCGTGTCGCGCGTGCGGGCCAGGCGGAGCTGCTTGGGGCGGGAGAGGAAAGCGGAAGTGGAGGAGGGGGAGGAGGGGGAGGAGGAGGGGAGGGGGAGGAGGAGGAGGAGGAGGAGGAGGAGGAGGAGGAGGAGGAGGAGGAGGAGGAGGAGGAGGAGGAGGAGGAGGAGAGGAGGAGCAGGAGGAGGAGGAGGGGGAGGAGGGGGAGGAGGGGGAGGAGGGGAGGAGGGGGAGGGCAAGCTAGGTGCGCCCGCGTCATATCTGACATCCTACCCCTCCCTCCCATCCCTTACCATGGCGTAGATCCCCTCTTTACTCGCACAGTCGGATGTCGAGCAGGGCAATGATCCCGAAAGGGTACGCGATGCATTGTAGAGCACGGCGTGGCATGGCGTAGAAGAGCACCGCAAAGCGTAGTATGTCACAGCATGGCGTGGCGTGGCGTAGTGAAGAATTGCATCACAAAGTCTTGCAACGCAAAGCATGGAATCGCACAGCTGCCCCGAACATAACATTGCATAGCATGGCGTTGAAGATCAAAACGTAGCATGGCATAGCACGACGTGGCACTTAAGCACTGCATATCACAGCTTCAGCTGAAGGCGTGGCATCGCGCAGCGGAACGCAACCTAACATTGCATTGCATGCCGTGGCATGGCACGGGAAATGACGCCATCGCTGCAGCGGGAGCACGATTCGGAACGAGCGGAAGCGCGGAAATGAGGCCATCGCTGCAGCGGGAGCACGATTCGGAACGAGCGGAAGCACGGAAATGAGGCCAGCGCTGCAGCGTGAGCACGATTCGGAACGAGCGGGGCCCGAAAATGAGGCCGGCGCCTCAGCGAGAGCAGCATTTTGAACACAAATGCAGGCGAAAACCAAACTCTGGGGAATCCTGTGTAAAAAAACAGTACGCGGGGGGGGGCGAACACTGCCAACCCGTCATCAGGGGAAGGAGGAGAGTAGTATTCATATTGAATAATTGTGGAGGAGGGGGAGGAGGAGAATGACCCCGCTGTTGTTAGGGCGGGGCGAGACACTTGACCGAACCTCCCCCAGCGGGCGGGCGGTGGCGTGGGTGTCCCGTCGGTATCCCGTCGGTGTCCCGTCGGTGCCCCGTCGGTGTCCCGTCGGTGTCCACGCGGTTGAGATTGGTGGAGCGAGATCGATCGTGCGGTTGATCGGTGGTGAGGTCGAACGAGTGGGGCCGATAGAGAGATCGAAAGTGATGCCGATAGAGAGATCACGTCGCGGCGCAGCAACGTCATCACGCGCCGTCGCCTCATGGAGGGCGCATCACCAGCATCGACATCATCACAACCGTCGCAATTGCCATCAACTGCCATCGGCCCGGCGTGAACGGTGGCACGCATTCGGAGCAGGATTCGCCAGATGGTTGCCCGAACATGGGATGAGAAATCTGTGCATCTTGCTTCTGGGACAAATATGCAGCAACGACAGCTCATCGGGCTCGCTACGTGCCCGACATGCTCATGTTCTTCGCGCGGGGCAAGGGCCTCGCATTGGTCACTGCGTTGCATGCTACTGCGCACATTTACGAGAATGCAACACTCGAGAAATTGCATACATCGACGGCGCTCTGCTCGTTCGACTTCGGCTTGCTGCGGGCGCTCTTTGTCCCATATAGATGCCCACGACATGCGATGGGGGGCCTCCATCAGCGGCCCAGCGGAGGCCAACGGGACCATTGTGGCAAAATGCACCTGTGCGACGGGGATATTCAAACTGATAGCGATGGTTGTGCTCAAGGGTATTGCCGTGTCACCCCCCCGTGTCGCAGCATGAACCTCGTAGATGACCTCGCGTGGCATGTCGTAGCAAGCCCGTCTACGGTGGTCAGGCACTCCGTCGAGGCCCACGTCAAGGTGGCTGGGCACATGGACAAGATCCAGCTCCCCACCAACTGGGGCAACGCGACGTTCATGATCTCCAACCCTGAGGTAAGATGAAGCCGGGATCGGGGCAAAATTTGACCGGGATAAAAATCATGCTCGGTTTTTCAAATCACCGGGGGCGCCGCCGAACGGGCCTGCCACGCCGTGGGCGCCATCGGCTTCACGAGGGAAGAAAAGCGCCCCGGCGCGGATGAAGCCGCGGCGCGCATTTGGCAACGCGCACGACCGAGGGAATTCAGCGCCAAGCGCCTTTCACCCCAGAAGGCCCGACGTCAACAAAACAAACTTGAGGCCCAAAGGAGGCCCCTAGGAGGCGGACCGCCAAAACAATCACGCAACCAACGCAACGAAAAACACGAAAATTACAAAAATCGCGTTACTCAGTGACCTCTTCGGCCTAGCAACACCGCGATAATGCCCAAGACGGCATCGGGACAAAAAGTCACGCGCGCGGCCACGCGACTTCCCCGCGCCGCCCCAAGGTTCCCGAAACGCGCCGAAATAACCGTAGAGAACACCCCGGAAAGTCTCTGGAAAATCCCCGCGCCATGCAAGATCCGCCACCGAACAATCTCGCGGACACCTAGCGCGTGCGCGCGGGCGTCCAGCATGGATGCCCAACTCCGGCTTCCGAGACAATCGCGCGCAACAGCCTGGGGGCCTCGGCAACCTCGCAATTGGCCCAGGGGCCCGCGGGCCCCAGGGAATCGAATACCGAGTTCGCAACTCCGGAAGCATCGGGCGCGGCGCCAGCCAGTCGCTCGTTTCTGGCTGACAGTAGGACGCATGGAGACCCGGTAAAACCTAAGGAACCGCTTCTCAGAGATTCACGGAACCAGAAACCGGGGCGCGCCATATTCTCGCGCCCGAACTTCTCTGAGAATCTCTGAAAATCTCTGAACTAGCCACCCCGCGTGAAACATTCCCAGAAACCCAAAACCTCGGAGTTGGCCGAAACTCTCTGAGAGTTTTTCGGCCCGCGAAATTTGGCGCGCCCGGATTTCTGGTTCCGAGATCCTCTGAAATCGCGCTGCGGCGGCGCCCAGCAGGTCCCTGCGCACCCAGGGTGGGGGCCGTGGACATCGCGGGCCGCGATGGTCCCGACCGCGAGGTCCTTCCTCCTGCCCCTCGACGAGTCCACGCTCATGGACACGCTCTCTGCTCTGAGCGTGGACCGCGCCATCCGCCGGTACTTCTGCGCGACGACAGCCAACTGGCCGCCGACGGACAAGGCGATTTTTCTCCGAGCTGCGCGTGCCACCGAAAACGTACAATAGCCCCAGGCTCGGGGAGAAACACTTTCGAAGCATTTTCAGGCCGCCAGCGTCGTGGCTGCCGACCCGCCGCGCGCCGACCGAGGGACTAGCTGGGTCCACTACGTCCACGGCGGCGGGCGGGCGCCCAAAAGAGCTGTCGCCGCGGTGCGCGCGGCGGGGCGCCCGCCCAACTGCAACCGCAAATGCGGCCTCCATGGCGCCACAGGCGTAATATGTGCGACGCATTCTCGGGCCCCCCATCATCGCAGTGGCCAGCGCCCAAGTCCCTGACACGCAAACCTACTGTGCCCCCCGTGCAAGCCGCGCACCCGCTCACAGTGCTCGTGCACACCAGATTTTCTGCCCGCCCTCAACAGTTTAATTGAGCGCCCATGTGTTACTTGGGCTCCGCAACCCCTCGAACACTCTTTGGGAACTTCTGCGAATGCGCGCGCTACGCTCCACAAATCGGCGTTCTATTTTTCTCTGGAACTCACCCAGAATCTCTGGTTCCGATTTGTCCCGATCTTCCGCTCAACTGATGAGGCCCTGAAGGAGCTCCTGCAAGACCCCGACTGGAACCTCGACCTCCAGCATCACGTAAACGTTCACCAGGATCTGGGAGGGGACTCTAGCAGCGGAAAGGATCCCAGGCTCCCCATGCTGCTCCAACGGATCTCTGGCGCCATGCAGATGGCCAGCAAACTAACACGTCTGGGAACGGGGTCGGCTGTATCTAGGGTGTTCGAGACAAAGACCCTGACCACGGCGATCTGGCGGTGCCGGAAGCCCCCGATTCCCGCTTAGACACCGGGAATGTTTAGTTGGTGAAGTTGTTGCGTTGATGTGTTCTTTTGCGCGCCGCCCTGGCCGGCCACGCGCGCGCGCGGGGGCGGGGGGCACAGCCCCGGGGGGGGGGGCGGCGCGCTGGTTGGGTCAGCGGCGGCGGCGGCGTCGTCATCAACGGGGTGGCGGACGCGAATCTCAGGAAGCTCAGGATCAGGGCCGCGAAGGCTGCAGGTCCCCTCGATCCAGGGTGTGCTCTCGGGTTCAGGTTTCTGCTGGGCGTGTTCCTGGCCAAGAAGGACCCCCTCGAGATCGTGACGGCCCAAGTGGTCAAAGACTTGGTGAGCGTCTTTTGGAATCGGCAGGTGTCCTGGGAGGCGATGGGAGCCGACTTCCTGGACGGTCTTGAGGTTCTGAATGCATGTAACCATAAGCCCAAAAAACAACATCCGATCGCAGCCCTCAGGGTTACCCGGGCAAGGATCGACTGGATATTTGATTTTCAAGACAAAGCTACCCTTGATAATTTCGGGGGCCCTTGGGCAATGTTGAGATTCTGAGATTCTGTCCACAATTCTCTGAGGGAATACGGTCAGGGACGAGAGAGCCAGAGATACGTAGTTTGACAAAAGATTTGGTTGCCTTGCTTTCGACGGATGGAGGAAGCAGCAGGAGCATTGTTCCCCAGGGGGCTTTCCCCTACCAGGGCCGATTGTTTGGACGACCCCATCGTGACCCCAAGGGAGTTGATGCCCAGTCGCTCAGCTTGCCCGTCGACGGGGTACGCATGATCAAAAAAATCGTAGACGGTGTTCGCAGACGTGTCGTACTTCGAAATTAACGTTCCTGGGCTGCGAGTTGCAAGGTGGTCGGTGTGTGTGTTGTCAACTACAGCGGGGACCTTCCGTATGGGCTCTCTACGGAATGGTCCCGCCTTGTAAGGCCCCCGACCAGAGCTCAAGAGACGGCGGGGATTTCACGATTCGGCAGCTGGGACTTCATACAGTTCTCGAGGCAAGCTCTGAGGTTCGCGAACATGGAAAAACAACGGTGTCTGTGGCTAGTCGGCTCCCTTCGTCGGCGACCGGGAACCATAGGTGTCACTGGTGGTCTGAGATTAAAAGTGCTCTGGCATATGTCCGAATTGGAAGGTCGATGCGCAGCAGTCTCAGAGGGCGGCCCAGGAGGGCCTCATCACACACCAGCAACGCCGAAATAATGCTCACGCTGACCGCCTGGCCAAACGAGGTGCTGAGCCGTTCCGTGCCCCGCAAGCCCCGTTGTGGGTGATCGCAGGATGTGCCCCTCTTGCCCGTGAGGCGCCGCGGTTTGCGACCTCCCAGCAGGTGATGATCAGCAGCGGCCAATCGGCCGACCACGATGGGCCAGACTTGCCATCGCTCGGCCGTCCACTTGCTGTGCCCTTTACGGTTGCGTGCGTGCGTGTGGTTACGCGAGGAGGCGGAAGAGGAGGAGGAGGAGGGTGGTGGAGGAGGAGGAGGAGGAGGAGAAGGAGGAGGAGGATAATGAGGAGGAGGAGGAGGAGGACGGGGAGGAGGAGGACGAGGAGGAGGAGGAGGCGCAGGAGGAGCCCGAGAAAGAAATCACGCGCCCGAGCGATGGCCAAGCATTGGGCCGACCACGACGGGCTAGAAAGCGGCTCACCACGGCCCCCCTGCCGTTCTGCTTTTCGCGTTCGGCGAGCGTGCCGCCGCCCGCCGCCGCGTTCGGCCGCCGCGGCCGTGGCGGTGCGCACTCGAGAGCGCGCGATCCAGCGAGCGGTCGGGAAACAGGCGGCGGCAGCCGGAGCCCGCAACGGAGGCGGCGGCAGGCAGGCGGCAGCCAGCAGCAAGGGCACCGGTCCCCCTGGAGGTCGCTGCCAGGCTCCCCGCCCCTGGCGCCAGCAAGTCTCCTGCTGGTGTCCTCGGGGGCCTTCCCTAGACCTCCGGGACGAGGAGGAGGGCCCACCCAAGGCCACCTCCGATACGCTTGGGGAGCCCAGGGAGGCTAGGAACTTCAAGGGGCATAGGCTGTGGTGGGCTCAAGTCAGAGAGGGCCGCGAGCAAAAGCTCACCGGCACGATGCTGTCGCGCTCGTCGTGCGGTGGCTGCGGTCGGGGCTCCCATAAGAAGCCGCCCCGAAGAGCTATCCATGCGACGTGTGACGGCAGGCCTGGCAAGGGCCCCTGCAAGCATGTTGCCTTGCCTGGGCAAGGGACGTTTCCTAGATATGGGCATGGCCAAGTTGTGCGCAACATGGCCCCTCCCCTCGCTCAGCGTTCGGCAGGAGATGTTCCAGGGCCCCAGAGGGGCTATATACTGAGGGAAGTTTAGCATCTTTTTTCGGGCTGTCGTGAGAGGAGGCGGCCTGTGCTGGGTCAGGCTGCTCGAAACGCGAAAGCAGCGAATGCACCAGCAGCGGCCAGAGGCCTGTAAAGCCCCCGCCCACGACCCCAGCGTGCTGGGATCGCTCCCCCATGTTCCGTGTATGTGAATGGGGTCGCCCCCCCCCGTAACAGCCTAAATTAGTGCCTCCTCCTCCTCCTCCTCCTCCTCCTCCTCCTCCTCCTCCTCCTCCTCCTCCTCCTCCTCTTCTCACTCCGCGGAGTTTTCCCCCGGGGAGACGGGGATTCCCAGGAGGTTGCGAAAATCCCCGAGCCTTGATGTGCGTCCAGGGTGTCCTCGGCAGATGAAGCCATGATTCTGGCCAGACGGCCCAACAGGCCCCCGCCGCCAGGAGAGCCGTAGTGGCCGCCGAAGCGACCAAGGAGGCTCCAAGAACCGCACGAGCGATACAACGAACCAAGATAGCCCAAGCGTGTCCGAACAATTTCCTCCGACGGACCAAGAAGGCCCCAAGACTGCCCACAAAGACTGACCCAGAAGGCCTCCTGATGGGGCGCGAATCACCGTGAAAGTGGCCAAGACGGCCCGATACGGCCTGTAGAGGGCGCCACGGCTGCAAAAGCTGGCCCTTAGAGCGTAATGCAACGCCTTAAGAAGGCTTCCGAAAGCCCTAGCAGACCCAAAACGGCTTCCAAAGACGCCCGAAATTTCAATACCTGATCCTCCCTGTCACCTCTTTCTCTATCCCCCGTCTCGTCCTTCTATTCTCCCTCTTTCACCTTTCCACCCCCCCTTCCTCGCCCCCCGTCCGTTTCCTCATCCTCTTTTTTCATAGCAAAGGCCGTTCTTCAGGTTGCCAAGTGTACACTCCAATTCTACAACCTGGTCAAAAACCACAATTTTCATCTGGAATGCCGAATGTGCATCCGGAGAAAGAGCGTGCATATGGCCAACCATGCGCCTGCAAACCATCCCGTCCCTTTTGCTCCACGCCACCATCTGGATCCCATATGCGCCACCGCCTGTGAAGATTGGCAACGCGGATTTCTCAGCGTTAGCTGTAGCCAAGATCTGCCGGAGACAATCGGAGGTCAACTTGCTCCCGCGTGCTTCCTGCGCCAAGGGTCACTTCGGCAAGTGAGCAGCGCCCGCATTCCATCCTATGGGCCTCCAATCGACTGGATCTATGCAGCCAGCATTGTAGGAGCATCCTTTGGTGTACAGATTGGCCAGTCTATTTTGGACGCGCATGGGCATCCCGACGAATTAATAGCAGGTTAGCGGCGGCGGAAGCCCCAGCGTCGTGCAAGCTTGGATCACGAACTCTTTCCGAATCCGGGCCTGGCATGATCGCAAAGCACATGCATCGAAATGGGATTTCCAGTCCAAACCCAGAACTTTAGACATATAGATTCGCCAGCATGCGTGCTCTATCCATCCCGGGCATATGTCATCTGTTCATGTTTTCGCTTGCGTCTATTTGTCAACACTTTAGCCGTTTTCAGCCATCTTATATTCCGTTCTCGTCAGATTGTTCCAACCATTGCCCCGCAGCCTCGCCCGTGCCTCGCATACGAATGACATCGTTTCACAATCACAGAATGAATTTCTCTGAAGCTGCAATGATGGCACCATTGATCAGCCTTGCTGGCCGTTCTTTGATAGTATGGCACCCTGCTCTCACCAGGTCCGGCAGGTCACATGCGAAACACTCTGAGGAGGTGTCGTCGCTCCCATCTCACCAGATTGATTAGCAACGTCTGGTTCCAATGTACTGTTTGGCAGAAAAGCAAGACCGTCCCGCGAAGAGGGGCCGCCCACGCACGCAGCTTCAAACAGAGCGGAGCCTTGCCGAACACGCGCCGACGGAATGTGTAAAAATGCTTGTCACCTTTCGTGTTGCGGTATGTGCCTGACAAAGCATCCCTCCCAACGAGACCATCGAATCGACGATGCGGTAGTCAAAAGTCATGCAGTCCACCTCTATGCTGAGCTGGGGATCTGGGTCATCGACGTCTCCTTCGTCTCCTCCTTGTCCTCGTTGTGATCCTGTCCCTCCTCCTCCTCCTCCCCAGAGTATCCTTGTTCTCCCTGGTCGACGCTTGCAGGGACCAGCCCACGTCTCAAAACGTCGAGGGGTTCGAGGACCTGCCGCCGGCCGCACGAATATCACCTTCGGCCCCCTGGGGTGGCCCCCGCAGGGCCCTTCGGCCCTCCACTTGCGCCCACCCCGCAGCCGCCAGCGGGGGGCAGCTCGAGGAGCTCGTGGACAACGACGCGGCCGCCTCGCCTCATTGACAACGACGCTGCGCCCCCCCCCCCTGGAGAAGGATACCTCTTTCTCACAGGCCGGCCCCGAAGCGAAGCGCCAACCACGACTAGTTTCGCGCCCCTGTGGGTGTGCGCACCAAACTAGGCAGACCGATGCTCCCGTTCGAACTTCGGCGGGCGGATGGATCTGCCAAGCCTGCTCACCGAAGGTGACCAGCTTGACTTGATCCCCCGCATTGTTGGATGCCCGGAATGGGTACGGAATAAATGGGTACAATGCCACAAATGTTGTCCCAAACCAAGAGAGAAACGGCGACGACGGATGTCAGCGATCCGCCTGCTTCCCTCCTCGGGGGCGGCCAAGACGGGGACGTCCAAGAGGGGGGGGGCGCAAATCATGGCGGGCGGCATGCGCGCGGCCCAAAGGGGGGGCCAGGGACGTAACGAAATAAGAAGGGACGCCATGAAATCCGAGGAAGCATCATGGCCCACGCCACGATATCCCCCCCCAATCATCGCCCCCCTCATGGCCGCTCCCTTGGACGCCCGAAATGGGTACGGAAATCATGGGTACAATACCCAACAACACATGTTGTCCCAAACCATCAGCGGCCGCCGTTGGGCCGGCGGCCTTCTGTCTCAAATGGACACAGGCCGCGGCGGCGCGGACAGCGAGTCCTGTTCAGAATGAACAGGAATCGCTGTCGGGCATTGTGCCAATTCTTTCCGTACCCATTTCGTTCGTGCAGAATCCCTGGGCGGGCTCTCGGCCTGGCCAAGCAATCGCTTTCCGCCCGGTCGCCTCCCTCGTGCTGCTGCCTATCCTCCTCCCACGCCGCCGCCTCCCTCTGCTCAAGTTCCTTCTGGTGCTCCTCCTCCACTTCCTCCTCCTCCTCCTCCTCCTCCTGTTCCTCCTCCCCCCCCTCCTCCTGCTGCCCCTGGCGCGCCCTCTACACCGCCTCCTCCCTCTCCTCAATCTCCTTCTGGCGTTCCTCCTCCTCATGTTCCTCCCCCGCCTCCCGCTGCCCGCGATACGCCTAGAGCCTAGACTCCACCCAAGCAACTTCTGCAACTCCTTCTCCTCGTGCTCATTTTCGCCTCCGCCTCCTCGTCATCCTCTTCCACTTCCTCCACATCCCCCTCCTACTGATCATGATCCATACTTCCTCCTCCTCCTCCTCCTCCTCCTCCTCCTCCTCCTTTCCACCCCCCGCATCTCCTCCGCCCTCCCTCACAACCCATACGTCTCTCTCTCTCTCTCTTGCCCCAGCCTCTCCCTCACAATCTGATTCACACCTCCTATGCCACACCTCCCTCACAGTCTCCTTCACACCTCCTGATGCTGCTGCATCCTCACACCTCCGATGCCATGCCTTCTCCACGTGCGCGGCCCCGGATCTCTCGACCCCTGCCTCGGACCCGGAGCGCGGCGCGGCGGAGGAGGCCGAGTATTAGGCCGGGCGTGTCCCCCAACAGGCAGATTTAGCAGGAAATAGTTTGGAAAATAGCTCAAACATATTCAACAATAGTCAGAAAAGAATCAAAACATCGTCCCCAGACTTATTGTTGACCATTTTTAAACATCCCTCAGGGGCAGGCCCGACTTCGGCCGATCATGAAGAGGCAGACGGGGCGGCGCCGCAGAGGCGGCCGCGGCGCGGCTTTTTCGAGCAGGGACTGACCGTCCCGGCATTCCTCCAGGCCTACCACGACATTTTCTTAGAACTCCAAAATGTTGAAATAACAACAAGGGGCACGCGTGCCAAGGATCATACAATGACGATGTGGGTCCATGGGAGATGGAGAAAACCAGGGATCGCGGGGGGAGCGCACGGTCGGTCGGAATAAGGGGAGGGGGGCGCAGGGGGGAGCGGGGGGGGTGGCACGGTCGGTCGGAATAAGGGGAGGGGGGGCGCAGGGGGGGAGCGGGGGGGTGGCCCACGGTCGGAATAAGGGGAAGGGGGCGCAGGGGGGGGAGGGGGGGGGGCCACGGTCGGTCGGATAAGGGGAAGGGGGCGCAGGGGGGGAGGCAACGGTCGGTCGGAATAAGGGGAGGGGGGCGCAGGGGGGGAGGGGGGGGGGGGGGCACGGTTGGTCGGAAAAAGGGGAGGGGGGCGCAGGGGGGGAACGGGGGGGGGGGGGGCACGGTCGGTCGGAATAAAGGGGAAGGGGGCGCAGGGGGGGAGCGGCGGGGGGTGGGCCCATGGTCGGTCGGAATAAGGGGAGGGGGGCGCAGGGGAGGAACGGGGGGGGAGGGCCTACGGTCGGTCGGAATAAGGGGAGGGGGGCGCAAGGGGGGAACGGGGGGGTGGCCCACGGTCGGTCGGAATAAGAGGAGGGGGGCGCAGGGGAGGAGCGGAGGGGTGGCCCACGGTCGGTCGGATAATGGGGGGCGCAAGGGAGGAGCGGGGGGGGGGCCCACGGTCAGTCGGAATAAGGGGAGGGGGGCGCAGGGGGGGAGCGGGGGGGTGGGCCCACGGTCGGTCGGAATAAGGGGAGGGGGGCGCAGGGGAGGAGCGGGGGGGGTGGCCCACGGTCGGTCGGAATAAGGGGACGGGGGCGCAGGGGGGGAGCGGTGGGGGGGCCACGGTCGGTCAGAATAAGGGGAGAGGGGCGCAGAAGAGGAGCGGGGGGAGTGGCCCACGGTCGGGCGGAAGAAGGGGACGGGGGCGCAAGGGGGAAGCGGGGGGGGGCCCACGGTCGGTCGGAATAAGCGGAGGGGGGCGCAAGGGGGGAGCGGAGGGGGTGGCCCACGGTCGGTCGGAATAAGGGGAGGGGGGCGCAGGGAGGGAGCGGGGGGGGTGGCCCACGGTCGGTCGGAATAATGGGAAGGGGGCGCAGGGGAGAAGCGGGGGGGGTGGCCCACGGTCGGTCGGAATAAGGGGAGGGGGGCGCAGGGGGGGAGGGGGAGGGGCCAGCACGACCACCAGCACGACCACCAGCACCTCCACCAGAACGGCCAGCAACACGACCGCGAGCACGACCACCAGCACGACCACCAACACGACCACCAGCACCTCCAGCACGGCCAGCCACCAGCACGACCACCAGCAGAACCACCAGCACGACCACCAGCACGACCACCAGCACCTCCACCAGAACGGCCACCAACACGACCGCCAGCACGACCACCAGCACAAGCACCGGCACGCCCAGCCACCAGCACGACCACCAGCACAACCACCAGCACGACCACCAGCACGATCACCAGCACGACCACCAGCACCTCCACCAGAACGGCCACCAACACGACCGCCAGCACGACCACCAGCACAAGCACCAGCACGACCACCAGCACGACCACCAGCAAGACCACCAGCACGACCAGCCACCAGCACCTCCAGCACGGCCAGCCACCAGCACGACCAAGCACGACCACCAACACGACCACCAGCACCTCCAGCACGGCCAGCCACCAGCACGACCACCAGCACAACCACCAGCACGACCACCAGCACGACCACCAGCACGATCACCAGCACCTCCACCAGAACGGCCACCAACACGACCGCCAGCACGATCACCAGCACAACCACCAACGCGACCAGCCACCAGCACGACCACCAGCACGATCACCAGCACAACGGCCGCCAGCACAACCACCAGCACGACCGCATTATGGGCACACGGTCGGTCGAAATAAAGCAGTGCGAGATCACACCGGTAGGTATGATGATAACAATGTTCTTAAAACATTAGCCCGATGAGTTAAAATAAAACAGTCCCAGTCCCAGCCGGAAGCCACAAAAGGCTCTTAGAACATTGTTTGGTGGGCGTATAGTCGGGTCGGGCGACAGGGGGGGGGATAGCAAAGGGGGGGTCTGAGAATCAGCTCACGTAGCTGCTTTTCCCGGCGCCTCCCGGCGCCGGAGGCGGCTATGCATCGAGGAGTGGGCTCCTCGGTGGGGCCGAAACCAGCTGCATGCAGCAAATTTCGTACCCCCCCCTTCGTCCGGCCCGAGTTTGGTAGGCTAATAGGCACGCCAGGACGCTTCGCCACAGCTTGGCGGCGCGCAGAAGGGGGTGGAGGGAGGGGGGAAGGCTTCTTAGAAGGAGGCTGCTTCTCAGAAGGCGGCGGCCTTACATCGATACATAAGGCCCGCGCCTTCTCAGAAGCAGGGGTGCTTCTAAGAAGCCCTCCCCCTTCCCCCCACCCCCCTCTGCGCGTGGCCGAACAGCTTGCCTTTTACTCTGAAAGGGGCGCGCGGCGGGGCCGGCGCGGGGCACCCGCGCCCACCGCCTGCCGCGGCACCGCAGCCGCCTCCCGGGCACCCCGCGCGCGCTCCCCACGGCGCCGCGCCGCGGCCCGCCCGCGCGCGGCGGCGTCGGCACGCCGCCCGCGGCCGCGCGCAGCCGCCGCACTGCGGCGGCGGCGCGCGGTCGCAGCCGCGCGGCGGCGCGCCGCTGCCGCGCCAGAGGCGCGCGGCGACGCCCTCGGCGGCCGTGGGCGGCGGCCGAGCCGAGGCTGCCGCACCTCGGCAGAGGCGGCGCGGCCGCGCGGTGGCGCCTTGGCCCCGCCCTCAGGGCCCGCCGTCCTGGGCGAAGCTGCGCCGGTACATTTCGCTGAGGAGCCAGTGCTCGTTCAGGGCCTGCTCCTTGGACTTCACGGAGGCCTCGCGGGTGGGGCAGGGACAGGGCAGCAGCAGGAACAGCATCCACGTGACTGTTACCATGAGTGAAACTAAAAGGTCCCCGCCCAAGTGATTGCGGGAAACGGGGGGCTGCAAACGTGAGGGCTATTGCAGACGAGGAGGGGAATCAACGAAGAGAAAGACGAATGCGAGGACGACGAACAGGAGAGCGAAAAAGAGGACGAAGCGGAGAACGATGAGGATAACGAGAAGGTGGTGCTGGCCCGCCCGCCACCCTCCTCCCCTGCCGTCCTCCCTTCCACGCAGCAGTCATCGTCGTCGTCGTCGTCGTCGTCGTCGTCGTCGTCGTCGTCGTCGTCGTCGCTCGTCGTCGCTTGTCGACTTTGTCGTGGAAAGGGGTGGTGTGTGGTGGGCCCCTCCCCCCGTGCGCCCCTCTGCGCGGCGCGGGCGAGCGGGATGGAGGGCTGTGACTGGACGCGCGTCGCGCAGCTGCTGCCAGCAGCAGCAGCAAAATGAGAGGCAAGCGAGGCGGAGGAGGAGGAAGAGGAGGAGGAGGAGGAAAAGGAGGAAGAAGAGGAGGAGAGGGGCGGGGTGGCCTTGTGCGTGGAGAAGAAGAGGTGGTAGGACACCCGCTTGAAGAAGCGCTGAAAGGTACGCGGCTGCTTGCCCCAATTCCTCACGCGGGTTGCTCGGGAGGCCAGTGGTCGTCGTCGTCGTCGTCGTCGTCGTCGTCGTCGTCGTCAGAAGGCGGAGGAGGAGGAGGAGCAGGAGGAATCCTCCTCCCCTCCTTCTCCTTCCTCCTCGTCTTCCTTCCATCCCTCCCTTCTCGTCGTGGTCATCGTCCTCCCTCCTCTCCTACCCATCCCTCCGCGCGCGTTCCTATGCGCGCCAGGGGGAGGGGGGGACCCCTAGAGAGGAAGATTCGAGGCGGGAGAGAACGATCATGAGGAAGGATGAAGGCCCTTCTGGCGATTGGACCAGCCACGCAATGGTTGAATCAATCCGACGCTATCCACGGCCGTCAGAAGCTACCCGACAATGACTTCGCGGTCATGGCACCGATACCGAGCAATGCAACAACTGCTGAGGCAGACGCCGGCGACCAACGTCGTGAGAGAGAGAGAGAGAGAAGGAGAGAGAGAGAGAGAGAGAGAGTGAGAGAAAAAGAGAGAGCGAGAGAGAGAGAGAGAACATAAAAAACAAGAAAGAGGGAGAGAGAGAGAGAGAGAGAGAGATAGAGAGGCAGAGGCAAAGAAGAGAAAGAGAGAGAGAGAGAGAGAAACATAAAGAAATAGAGAAATAGAAACAACAGTAAAGAAACCTAGAGAGAGAGAGAGGCAGAGGCAAGGGAGAGATATAGAGCGAGAGAAAGAGAGATAGAGAGAGAGAGAGAATCATCAACGACCCCGTGACGCAAAAAACACAACGACCCGAACCCTCGACTGCATCTCCGAAGCTGCCACGGGCGAGATCGATCCGCGAGGGGCCCCGCGGACCGGGAGCGGGTTAGGGCCCGCCGTGCTCGTGCCGAGCCTCGACGCCCCAGCTCCTGAACCAATTTTTTAACAAGCGCGAAGCAGCCCTGTGGCGAGGAGGGGACAGGGAGGGGGAGAAACAGACAGAGCAGCTCAGCCCGGAGCTGCTGCACGAATTAGCCCTAGTCGGGCGGCCCAGCCAGCGTCGCCAGCCGCCAGCGCAGCGCGGCGCGCCAACCCCCCCAGCTCCTGGGACCACACCGCGGGCCACAGAAGGCCAATGGAGGCATTGGTCGGGCGTTGCTAGAAGTGCCCCTGGCCCAAGGTGCCCCCAGCTTGTCTCTCCATTTGGAACCCCTGGGGCCCTCTAGGCCTCGTGAGGGGTGCTCTGGAGGCCGCCTGGGCCCCCCCGAGAATCCTGGGGGCACCTTGGGACCCCGGGGCACTTCCAGCAACACACGAATTGGAGGGGGATCAAGAAGCCGCCCTGGATTGAAGAAAAACGCACCGCTTGGACGACATCACGCTGGGACACACGGGGATCCCTGAGATGCGTGGGTGCGGCCACTCCAACGTGCTCCGGAACGCTCTGAGAGCGCTCCGGAACGCTCTGGAATCATCCCGGTCCTGGGTCCGCACGTCTGGTGCCGCCGTCTGGACGCTCTCGAGTCGCGCCCGCTGCTGGAAAAGCGGCTCCGGCCGTAACGACCTTCGGACGTGCTACTTTGGGAACGTTGTCCTGGGGGAAGGGGAGAGGCCCGAACCGTGACGAATCACGAAATCGGAACGGATCGGATCGCCAAGGCATCGTCCCGGATCGGATCAAAATCGGATCCTCTCTCCAGGCTCTGGCCAGCTCTGGTCGATGCCGCTGAATCGACCAAGTCGAATGCACTTTATTTGACTTGGTTCGATTCAATGTTTGACGATTTGCAATACAGTCGGAATCGCGGCCCAAGCTGGCGAATCGAATCGCATCAATTCAGATCGTAGTCAGCCCTGACGGGTCATGATCCCTTGGGGCTTCCGCCGGGCCTGGTCTTCGTTCCCAGTCGTTACTTGGGCCGCGATAGGCCGAAACGGTGAACGGCCTCAGGTCCCTCGTCCCTTAAGACCCCATCTCTTCGGTGTCACTTTGAGAACAAGGTGAGGTCTGGTAGGAAGAAAACCGCATGTGATAGCCCCCGCCTCCCCAAGTCCTCTCACAGCCGATCCGTGGACCCTCCCAAGCACCATCCAGACTGGCCTCCCAAACTGCGAAGAACGGTGGCGACGGAAATAACAAACAACATGTGAACGCCTCTCAAAACATTCAGAACACCTCAGCAAGCAGTTCTCCGAGCCACCGAGCTGGAGCAGCAGCAGGAGGAAGGGAGCGGGGAGGGCAGGTAGCTTCGTCTCTCGAGGAGCCGACCTTGGAGGAGCACACCAACCACCACTTTCCATCATAACGATTCTCTATGATTCTCGCTCTGCGGGTTGGATTTTAAAGTGCACATCGGCATGCATGTTCCCAAGCATTCGCGTTCCTGACCTCCGAGTTACCCTCACGATCACCATTCTTATCCTCCCTCCATCTCCCTCCTTCCTCCTCTCTTCTCACATCCAGCCATGTCTCCTAAACCAACCATAGGCCCCACGCTCTGCATGCACCCACACCCTCTGGAGAGGCAAGGGGCCAAAGGGCACCAATGCCCCTGCTCTGCATGGCCCGACAACTTGCCCTGGATGTCATCACAAAGCTCTGTCTGGAAGGTTCCCCGAAGCCCAGGCTCCTGAGAGGGGCGCAGCATTCTAGCCTGGACCTGCACCACCATCCTCTCTGGAGGGGCACTGCCACCACTTTCAGCACGGGCTTCAAAGCTCGCCCTGGATGCCTACCAACAGCGCACCTGGATGGCCCCGTGAACTCTCTCTGGAGGGACGCTGGGACGCCCAAGCTCTCTCTTCTTCTTTTTTTCCTCTCTCTCTCTCTCTCTGGAGGAACCCCTAACCCTCTCTCGGGGCGGGGGAAACGGGGGGAGGCAAGCAAACCCTGGTTGCATTTCTCCCCGCCCAAACTGTATAAGGCTGTTTGTGGAGTGGCCCCAAAACTGTCTCTGAAGGGGCATCAAGCTCGTCTGGAGGGGCCCCATGACTATCTGGAGGGGGCACAACAACTTCTCTAGATGGACCACACAACCCTGTCTGGAGTGGCCCCATCACCCGTTCTGGGAGGGAAAGGCCTAACCTCTCTGACAATGGCCCCGCAAGCCTCTGCGGAGTGGCAACCACACCATCTTGACAGATCGCACACGTCTCCGTAGACAGGGCCCAAAACCCTGTCAGAGAGTGGGCGGGACTCCTCTCTGCAAACTGCCTGAACGGTCCACACAACCCTCCCTGAATGGATTCGAACACCATGTTGAGGGCCATCCAAACCCTCGCTGGGGATTCCATACCTCTGTCTGGATGAGCCTCCGCGCCCCTCTGGGTGGCTCCTGAAACTATCCTTGGAGCCCACCCGAATTTGAAGGGGCCGCAATCCCCTGTTCTGGACTGGTCCCCAACCCCTCTATTGAGGTACTCACCCCCTGTGCGCAAGGCCAATCGTGTCTTTTAGAATTGTTAATTTCCCGTTCCGGTGCTGCTTTATCGCGAACGCCGGAAGGTAGTTCCTCTGCAAGTTCGAAACTTGCTATTGCCAATGTTGGAGGCTGGTTGCTCTGCATCTTGGCAATTGGTTGTTCAAATTTTGGGTCGGCTCGTGGAAGAGGTGGCGGAAGATGACGATACATTCTGCAAGGAGGAGGAGGAGACGGAGCAGGAGGAGGGAGGAGGCGACCATTGGAGGAGGGAGGGATGAGGGAGGGAGGAGGGAGGAGGAAGGAAGGAGGAAGGGAGCAGGAGGGAGGAGGGAGGGAGGATGGAGGGACCAGGAGGAGGAAGGAGGAGGGAGGAGGAGGTGCCGCCCCCCCCCCCCGCGCTCCCGCGGGTGCAGGCGAGGTCCCCGTCGCCCTCCTCCCTGCAGTCGAAGTCGCTGTAGTACTTCTTCCCGTCCTCCTTGCGCGCTCGCAGGGGCTGAACAAGTCTCGCCACCTCCTCCTCCCTCCCCCCCCGTTTCTCCTCCTCCTCCTCCTCCTCCTCCTCCTCCTTCCTCCGGCTTCTCCGTCCCGCCCTTTCCCCCATCTTCCCTTCTCCATCCCCTTCTTAAACAAATACCTCCTCCTTGTCGCACCCCCGGACGTGTCGGAAATTAGAGCGGGCCAGGCGTTTCGCCAGAGGCTTCCTCGCCACTTCTGATCCTGAAGCTTGCAATTTGCAACTGTTTCACGGATGGAGGGCGGGCCTTTTTCAAAAAGCGGCTCTCGCCTTGGCGCCGAGGGCATTCGCATTGGCAAATTGCAAGAGCTTCACTGAAGGAGGCGGATCGGTTTCAATGTGTGGGTCTCGCCCAAGCGCCCCGCAACCTCGCGTGAAAGTCCCACCAGCCCTTAAGGGCGTAAGGTGGTCTAGAGTGCTTCCTCTTCCAACCCCCTTCTTCCCCTTCGGGGAGGGGTTTACCCCTCCCCCTGCCCCCTCCCCTGGACCTGGACGGGGCCGGTCGCGAGCGGTGAGAGCGTCCAAGATGAACCAAGACTGCTCAAAAAGGGCCTCTGAGAGCCCACGATGACCTCCAAGATAGCCCAAGATGGCTTCCAATATGCTCCAAGAAGATCCAAGAAGGTTCCAAAATGGTTCCAAGAGGCCTCCGAGACATCCAGGGAGGCCTCCAAGTGGCCAAAATCCTTTTCAAAACCCAAGGACAACCAATGACTTGTGCCTTCTCATCAGGGGGGCGACTCTACTTCCAAAGGCTCTTCAGAAAATCAGCAAGCAAACTGAGTGAATACTCGGACACCTCAAGAAGGGTCCAGAAAAAGCAAGCAAGCAAACCAAAAATCCAATGTCAACCCCTTCAAACTAGCAAGCAAGCAAAGAATCTCTCATCCCCTAACCTCCTTGATGCACAACTCGCCGAGGCCTGCCCAGACTCCGCAATGCCTCTTAGGACTTCTCGAAGCCTGGGGCCCGGGGGTCGGCGGCAAATAGCCCCTTCAGGAACTGCTCATAACTGCTCCCCGCAGCCGCCAGAAGCCCCGTTGGAGCCTCGGGGGAGCCCCAGGGCGCCCCTCACGGTGACGGTGACCCCAGAACACCCGCAGATGCAGCAAAGCCAAGGCCGCCAAAACAGCAAGCAAGCAAAGGGCACCGACACCCTTACCCCCTTCCAGAAAAAAGCAGCAAGCAAGCAGACGCAGGGTCAGACCCTTGCACCTGAAAGCCTGAGTCGCCTCCCTGATGCCTTCTCGCCTTGTCGGTTCCGATGGCCATTCGAGGCCTCAAGATGGCTCCAAGATGGCCCAAGAGGGCCCCAAGAGGGGCCCAAGAGAGCCTCAAGATGGCCCCAAGAGTGCCCAAGAGCGCTCCCAGAGTGCCCCGAGAGGCGACACGAGGCCCCCCTGAGGCATCCAAAACGCCCAAGAGCCCTCTAGGACCGCCAAGAGACCCCCAAGACGTCCCAAGAGGCCACCAAGAGGCTTCGAGAGGCATCCAAGAGACCTCTGGCCCTTTTGCTTGCCCTCCTCCTCCTGCTTCTCCTTCCTCCTCCTCCTCCTCCTCCTCATCCTATTCATCTTCCTTCTCCCCACTCCCTCATCCATCCATCCAGCCTCCTCCTTCTCCTCCCCCCTCCTTCGCACGGTTCGGCCGTCCCCCTCTTTGCTCCAGCACTTCCCTGATCACCTCAACTCGCCTGGACATCGTTTCTGGATGGGCTGGTGGGGATACTTTTTTTTTGATCGCGAGTGTCGCGGAACCAACCGCGCACCGTCAGGAAGTCGAAAAGCGGGCCTAACAAGCGACATACAGGCTGGTGGGGATACGTTTTGTCGCAGCCGCAAGCGAAAGCGCAGGCGGCGTCAAACGGGACGGGCGGGCCTCGCGCGAACCTAATTGCCTAACGCGCCAACAAACAGAGGCCTAAACGGCACCTCAGATCACCGGAAGCGGGAGGTGGTGCGGGCTGCAGCTGCCAGGAACCAGGTCCAGGAGCGAGCACATGGCTGGTGGGGGATACTTTTTTGTCAGCGGCCGCAGGCGAGCGCCCCAGCGGCGGGTCCGCTGGTGGGGGATATGCGAAGCGTCTAGAATTTGCAAGCGTTTCACGCATGGAGGGCGGGTGGTTTTAAAACTGTGACCCTCGCCTTGCCGCCGGGCTCACTCGTCTTAAAAGTGCAGCAGGTTCAATAAAAGATGGAGGGCGACTTTTCAAAAGGTGGCTCTCGCCTTAGCGCCGCGCAAATTCGTCTCACCATTCCAAACAGGCTCAAGGATTCGAAAGGGTCGACGTCCCAGGACTGGCGTTCTGGCGCGATTCAGGGCTGCCAAGACGCAGCAGTCACGTCGGCAGAACGCAATTTTCACGTTGATCTGCGGCGCTGAAATTTCAGGAACGGTGTTGTGGCACGATTGTGGGTTCCCAGACAGTTGTTTCCTGATGGGCCGCTCCCCGCAATGAGAATTCATTCGCTTCGACACCTGAAGAGGGACCTTGACGGGAGTCTTTGCTAGGACATCGTTGATGCGTCGTGGGTCTACTCTGGTCCTTCATCCTCCTCCTCCTTCTTCTCCTCCTCTTCTCCTCTTCCTCGTCCTCCTTCTAATACTCGTCCTCCCTCCTCCTCCTCCTCCTCCTCCTCCTCCTCCTCCTCCTCCTCCTCCTCCTCCTCCTCCTCCCTCCCTCCTCCTCCTCCTCCTCCATCCTCCTCCTCCTTCCTCCTCCTTCCTCCTCCTCCTCCTCCTCCTCCTCCTCCTCCTCCTCCTCCTCTCCTCCCCCCTCTCCTCCCTCATCATCATCATCATCCCATCTCCTGCTCCCTCCTCCCTCCTCCTCCGCTCCTTCCTCCTCTTTCTCCTCTCTCCTCCTCTCCGCCTCCTCATCCTCCTCCTCCTCCTCCTCTCCCTCCTCACCTCCTCCTCCACTCCCCCCTTCTCCTCCTACTCCTACTCTTGCTCATCCTCCTTCTCCTCCTCCTCCTCCTCCTCCTCCTCCTCCTCCTCCTCGACTCCACCCCGTCCTCCTCCTTTCGGGATTCGGGTGGCCCCGGCGACACGCTATGCCTTGCGAGCGGATGGCGTGTCGCTCCGCCCCGCGGGCCGGGAGGCTCGGAAAAGGTCGGGACGTGGACGCTCCGGGACCGGGAAACGGATAGCGTGTCGCGCCAAAGCGTGGTGGGCCAGAGCCCACGCAGCGACACGCAATCCCAAAGTTTCTGACCATATGGTCATGTCATGTCATTGTTTGTGCATTCCTTGTGCCAAGTGTTGCCCCCGGCCCTCGAGGACAGGGGCGGAGATGTTCAACATGCTCCTTCGCGCGTGGTCCTTCAGTGCTGTTCCTTGCCTCCGGTAAGATGTCGCTAGAAGTGCCCCTGGCCTTAGGTCAGGCATGTCCTCCCACAGGTGATTTTTGGACGAGAAATAAGACATACTCAGAAAATGCCCCGACATGGTGAAACAACACTCCGAAAATCGTCCCCAGACCATGCTTGTAATGTTTTTGAGCATTCCTCCCGTAGGGGGACGTGCCCGACTTCTTGCTAGAAGTGTCCCTGGCCCCTGGTGGCCCCCGGGATTTCCCAGGGCGGCCCCCACGGCCGCCGCAGCACCCCTCCCAGGAAGGCATCCCCAGGGTCTCCCCTCCTCCCTCCTCCCTGCTTTCTCTCTTCTCCCTTCCTCCTCCCTCCTCCCTCCCTCCTCCCTCCTCCCTCCTCCCTCCCTCCTGCCGCTCTCCTCCCTCCTCCCTCATACCCCCTCCCAACCCCGGAGGATCGCGCCGCATCGCCTCGCCGATGCATCACCGACGCATCGGCGATGTACGTAACGGCGACGTCGGCGGTGCATCAACCACGTCGGTGTGGAGAAAATCAGGCTCCACATCGAACAGCATCGCGGGTGCATGAACGATGCATCGGCGATGCGGCGCGATCCTCCGACCCCATCTGGGAGGCCTGGTCCCAGGGATTCAAAACAGAGCCCGAAGCTGGGGGCACCTTTTTTTCCACGCGAACGGATGTTGTTGAAATGAGGTCGAGCCTCAGCTCGAGCAGTTCAGCTGCCAGCGCGGTTGTTCTAAGCTGAGCCCCCAGCTCCGAACACATAGAAAAGAAGACGGCGCGCTTTAGAGCAAGCGCGTTGCCAGCAAAAGCTGGGGACACCCTTGGGCCAGGGGCACCCCGATGTGGGGGCCTCCAGCGGCCTCGGGTGACCTGCAAAGTTTTACCAGGGAGCAAGATGCGGGTCTCTTGAGAGCCGGGCAGGCCACCCCCCCCTCCTCAAGAGATCCCCCCCAAAAGGGCCCCACGAGCCTAGGGGCCTAAATCATCGGTCATTCTCTCCTCCCCCTCCTCCTCCTGGTTCTCCTCCTCCTCGTTCTCCTTCTCCTCCTCCTCCTTCTCCTCCTCCTTCTCCTCCTCCTCCTCCTTCCTCTCCTCCTCCTCCTCCTCCTCCTCCTCCTTGTCCTCCTCCTCTTCTTCCTCCTCCTCCTCGCCTTGCACCTCCTCCTTTTCCTCCCCCTGCTCCTTCTCCATCTCTTCCTCCTCCTCCTCCTCCTCCTCCTCCTCTTCCTCCTCCCCTCGTTTCCTTATGCTCCGCTCTCGCCTCCTCCTGCCTCCTCAACTGATGCTCCTCATCTCCCGATCCCGACTGGAAGGCTGGTGGATCGGCCATCGTCTAGCCGAGATCGGCCGCAGATCGCTGTCGCCGACGTCGCCAGGTCGAGGGTGGGGGGGGAGCAACGGAGGAGGGGGTAGGAGGAACGGGGGAGAGGAAGCCACGCGGAGAACGGGGCAGGAATGAGCTCGAGGATGGAATTGAAGCAGGGGGGGATCCCTGGGAACTCCCTCGGCGTTTCTGGAGGCATCGTAAAGCAAACGGAGGCACCCAAAACGCAAAGGAAAAGCAAAAGCAACAACGGCAGGTAATGATACTGGGGCGAGGGGGATGAGGACGTGGAGGAGGAGGAGGAGGAGGAGGAGGAGGAGGAGGAGGAGGAGGACGTCTGAGATCCGGGCCAACTCGTGCTTCGTCTTCTGCGCGACGCTGTCCCAGGGCTGCCAGTAGATCTGGCCCACCTCGACACGCCCAGAGTTGGAGCGATACAACGACGACGGCCTCTTCCTAGGATGCCCTAACAGGGAGGCCTCACGGGTATCCCCTGGACGCACCTGGAGGTCCCCGGAGGCCTCCTCAGGACCAGGCAAACAGACAATCCAGAGCCATCGATCCCCGACGACGATCGACGATCGAAGTCGACGATGGACGATCCCCTATCCTCCATCGACCACGGACGACGGACGTCGGACCCAGACATCCGACGTCGTGAGATTCTCAGTGCGGGGTCCCCCGAGGTCTGGGCCTTTTCCCCAGGGCCGGCTCTTCATCTTGAGCAGCTTTCGGACGGCCCAGAGGCCCAGCGACGGCCCCCAGAGGCCGAAATCGGAGCAAAACCACCGCCTCGATCTCCCCGAGACGTTGGGGGATGACGGGGCACCAACCCCCCAGCTACCGCGTGCGCCGCCAAAGCCTCGGGCACCGAGAAGCAGTAGAGCCTGGTGCCGTTGAGCGCCAGCGCCGATCGAGGATGGACTACGACGATCGACGTCGACGATCGACGATCGACTATACTCTACCGACGACGGACGACGGACGGCAGACGACGACGCCCCCCCCCTTTGTGGGCCCCTGAAGCGGCAGGGCAATTTTTTCACCGTTTCAAAAAAGATGCCCCTTGAAAATGGAGACGGCAAAAAAACGGCGACTGGAAACAGCATCAAAAATGGCTCCAGGAAGGAGACGGAGCCGGCACCGGTCCAACAACGGCCACGGAACCGGGAAACAAAAACGGCGTCGGAACCGGGAACGAAACGGCAGAACGGACCCGGGAAGAAAACGGCCCTGACGTTTCCAGGGCCCACTCCCCACTGGTCGGAAGAAGTAGGTAGAAACATGAAGTAGGAAGGCGTTGGAAATAGGTTGGGTTTCCGCCCGCCTCCTGTAGAGGAAGGACGAGGGAAAGCCACTCGACTCTTGAAGTAGGAAGGCGCTGAAAGTAGATTGGAATCTGGGAACCCAAAAATACCTACGTACTTCCAACGACCGATGGGTAAGCCCCCCCCAAAGGCCGCCGCGTGGGCTGCCATGCCCTCGGGCCCCCGGAAGCAGTAGAGCCTGGTGCCGTTGGGCACCAGCGCCGCCACGGCTCTGCCCTGCGTCGCAGCGGGGAGGAGGCGGAGGAGGAGGCGGGAGGAGGAGGTGGGAGGAGGAGGGAGGAGGAGGAGGAGGCGGAGGAGGAGGGAGGAGGAGAGGAGGAGGAAGGAGGAGGAGGAGGATGAGGAGGAGGAGGAGGAGGAGGAGGTAGGGTCGACCTGCTCAGTGGGGGTGCAGAACGCGGAGCTCGAATCGGTGATACCGCGATGCATCCCCGAGTGATCGGCGATACGCCCCCGATGGCGAATCCGCACGGTCCTGGGCAAGGGTGGGCTATCAGGCCCCTGTCGGCGATCCATGGTCGATGGGATGGCGATGCGCTCCCGCCTGAAACGTTGCCCCTGAATGGGCAGGCCGCCCCAACCCACACAGTGAGGATGGGCAGCCTTCCGAAGGGTACCCTTGCATCCTTGCCTCCTCGGTCCATCCTTGGCCATCGTCGTTGGCCGCGCCCCGCTCGAAAAGCTTCGACATGGGCGTCCAAGGCCCTTGCATCCTTATCGCGCATCCGTGCTACACGGGCTGACTGCAGGCCCACCACGCAGGAGGTCGCTCTGGAGAAAGGGCTGGCCTTCGACGGGGCGGGAGGGGTGGGGCACCCCACTTCCGCAGCGGGGGGCGGGCGGAAGGCCGGCGGATGCAAAGCGGGGGCGGCTCTGCCGGCGGAAGGCCAGCGGCTTCGTGCTAAGCGCCCCCCCGAGGAGGTGCCAACTGTGTGCAGTCGGGGCCTCCTGGGCGGAAGCCCCGAACACGCTCTAGCAACTGAAGCTGCGTTCCCGAAGCCTGGAACCACTGTCTTCGCAATAGTGCGTCATGCATGAATGCTCTGCAGGCAACCACAGCAAGCCACAACATGATACTCGCTACCCTGGTAGCCACACGAGCAGACACGGACGCTTCGTCACTGCTTGGCCTGCTCGACCCTTTGCAGGATGGCCTCCTTCTCCGCCTCGGGGAAGCTGTCGGAGCGGGACACTTTTTTCGTCTTCGCCTTGGTGGGGTCATCCCTGGGGGCGGCGAATGGGCAGAGGAGGTGAAGTGTGGAGGAACCAACCCTTCAACTTCTACGCATCGTCACACTCGCTGTTTACTCCATGTGCCGTCGGGCTCCAGGACAATCAGAAACGACCCGGGAGTACAGAAGCATGGTCCAACGGAAGTCCGCGCGGGCTTCTGGACTGTGCTAGACATTCCTTCCCCAGCGCGCGGGGCGCGCATCCGCCCCCCCACAAGTGGCGACAGAGTCCTCACACGTTTCGCGCCCCCACGGGGAGCTCCACTTGCGGTCCCGTCGAGGGTGGGTCGCATGCACGCCCACGCCCAGCTCAGCGTACCCCTCACACGGATTGTGCCTCACGGGGAGGTCCGCCTGCTGGCCCCCGGTGGCGCGTGCGTCTGTGGTCCTCCGCCCAATCTGGCACACCCCTTGGGCGGATCGTGTCCAACAGGGAGCTCCACCTTCAGCCCCAGCGGGCGCGCCCGCATGCCGCACCCCGCCCGTCTTTCGCACCACCCTCGCGCGGATCCTGCCCCACAAGGACCAGAACTCTGCCCATCCCGCGGCGCGGAGGTGATGAGGAGAGGGTCACGCCCTGCATGGGGTTGGGCCCTTTCCAAGGCGAATGTTATGTTGTGCTGTACGCGCATGGGTAGCACAGGCATTTGTAGCCAGTGTCTGGATACCATGAAGAAGGGATGAGAAGACGGGGGAGGAGGAGGAGGATGAGGAGGAGGAGAGGGAGGAGGAGATAATGACCGATTATTTGGGCTCCTGGACTCGTAAGTCCCTTTTTTGGGGGGATCTCTTGAGGAAGGGGGGTGGCCTGCCCGGCTCCCAAGAGTAGGAGGAGGAGGAGGAGGAGGCGGAGGCGGGGGGGGGGGGGGAGGAGGAGGAGGAGGAGGGAGGAGGAGGAGGAGGGAGGAGGAGGAGGAGGAGGAGGAGAGGGGAGGAGGAGGAGGAGGAGGAGGAGGGACGAGGAGGGAGGAGGAGGAGGAGGAGGAGGGAGGAGGAGGAGGCGTAGGAGGAGGAGGCGGGGGAGAGGAGGAGGAGGAAGGAGGAGAAGGAGGAGGAGGAGGAGGCGGAGGCGGAGGAGGGGGAGGAGAGGAGGAGGAGGAGGAGGATAGGAGGAGGGAGGAGGAGGAGGAGGAGGAAGAGGAGGAGGAGGAGGAGGAGGAGAGGAGGCAGAAGAGGAGGAGGAGGACGAAGATGAGGAGGAGGCGGAGGGGGGATGATGATGATGATGATGATGATGATGATGATGATGATGATGATGATGATGATGCTGATGATGATGATGATGAGGAGGAGGAGGAGGAGGAGGAGAAGGAGTGACATCGCGAGGACGCCGATATCGTCGTCGGCGTGATCAGCATCGGTGCCGTCAATGGCCGCGTAGTCGTCGTTACCAACGTCGTCACCAGCATCGCTACTAGAGTCATCGTGTCAATCGTTGCCGATGTTGCCATGATACCGCATCCGCCCAAGCCGCCGACTCGCAGTGAAGTGCCCGCTGGGATCTGCCCAGCGGTCATAGCCACCGCGGCCGCGTCGGTCGCGCCAAACTGGCTGGCGGCTGCAAGCGCGTGCTTGGGTCGGCGCAGCCGCAGGGACGCACCAGCCAGCGCCAAGCATGCATCGTAATTGCCACCGCATGGGTTTTGCAAGCCAGGTTGCAGGTGGGTGGGTGGGGTGTTTGCATGAGCATGGGATGCGTCAACCCGTTTGTGAAAACGCAATCGCACCACATGGCTTGCACCACATGGGTTGCACCGCATCGGTAATACCGGATAGTACGCACCACATAGTTTGCATATAATCGATGGCGCCGTGTAGAATAATGCACCACACAAACTGCAACATCTACCTGGCACACATAAGCTTCGCAACATAACTTGCACCACATAGGTGGCACAACGTAGATCGCACGGCATACGTTGCCCTGTAAATACAGCAGATTGCGCAAACGCGCTAGGCATCACAACGCATAGAGTACAGCACCTATGTGCACCGCGTAGATGCCACAATGCTGATTGCACGATCTTTGCTTAGACACACACACGCATATATATATATATATATATACACACAAATAAACGCGCACAACGCAAACTGCACAACCAGCTCACATCACATCGACTGCACCACATCAGTTGCACAGCGCTTCCTGTTAGAAGCATACGGTTTGGGGCCCACGCTGGAACCATGTTCTGTTCCTCGCGGAAAGGGTGAGGTTGGAGGGGGCGGGGCCTGGGCGGCCCCTTGCGGTCGTGGTCATTGTCGGGCGTCTTCAAGTGCTCCAGCTGCGCCCACGGGATGTGGCACGGGCGCTTCTCTGGCTCAGGGGCGAAAGCCTCACCGTCGACGTCGCCGCAGTCGCCGCTACCGTCGCCGTTGCCGTCGCCGCTACCGTCGCAGTCGCCGTCGCCGTCGTCGTCGTCGTCGTCGTCGTCGTTGTCGCCGTCGCCATCGCCATCTTCGTCGTCGTCCTCGGCTCTCGAGGTTCATTCCTCGAGCCTCGGAACTCAAAGATCGAGGCCGACACCGTTGTCCTCGCAGACGTCGTCGACGTCGCCGCCGCCGTCGCCGTCTGCGTCGGTGTCCTCGCCGTCGATGTTCGCGGAACAATGACCAAATAGTTCTGGCGTTTGGGATTTTGGCTGAGCCCGTGGTGGCACCTGGAAGCATCAGCGAACCTTTAGAGGAGGTCGTCGTCGTCGTCGTCTTCGTCCGCCTTCACTTCGAAATACATATGTGGAGACGAGGACGAAGGAGATGAGAGGGGGGAGGAGCACCAGGCAGGCACGCAAGGTCTCGTGGAGTCCGTGCACGAGGCCGACGAGAGCAATGAACAGTGACGCGCAGACTGCGCGACGCGCAGGAGGAGCAGGACGCGCACCGCTGCCGAAGGGGTCGGCCGTCCACCACTGGCGAGGGGCAGCGACGCGCACAGGTCGGGCGGCAACTGCTGCTGAGGCGATGGGCGAGCAGGAGTATGGTGGGCTTGCTTTCCACCGCCACCACTTAAATATGTAGGAGGGGGAGGGGGTCGTCTTCCTCCTCCTCCTCCTCCTCCCCCTCCTCCTCCTCCTCCTCCTTTTCCTCATCCTACACCTCCTTCCCCCCTCCAATATATGGTGGTTGTGGTGGTGGTGGTAGTGGTGGAGAACAGGCCCATGAGAGTAGCGCGAGCAGCAGGGCGGCAAATGCCTCGTGACAGCAGATCTTCTCCTTCTCGAACTCGCCCTCCCCGCACAGGCGGGTGAGCTTCATCTTCAGGTTGGACCACCACGTCCTGCTCCACGGGTTGCCCGCCCGGGCGGCGAGGAAGTTGGAGGAGTACCTGTCCTTGGGAGCGGAGCAGTCGCCGCTCTTCTCTCCCTCCACCTTAGTAGAAGGGGGGAGACCGGCTGGCTCAAGGCTTCGGGCGCTCCTGATGATCAATGCTTCTGGAAACTTTCGTCGCCAACGCCTGGCGTGGCCCAGAACACTGAGCCAGCACGGCGCCCAGAGTCGGGTGGTGCCAGGGGTGTCTCTGGCCTCGAGGTGTTCCCGTGGACTGCTAAGGAGGCGCTCTCGGCCTCCACATCACCCTTCACAAGGCCCAGAGGGACCCTGAATTCCTCCTTCCTGCATGGGGTCTGCGTAGATGGTGTCGGAGGATCGCGCCGCATCGCCGATGCATCACCGATGCATTAGCGATATGTCGGCGACGCTGGCGGTGCATCAACCACGTCGGTGTCGAGAGATTCGGGTTCCACATCGAACCTCATTGCCAATGCGCATCAACGACGGCTCTGGGATATATCGGCGACGCCGGCGGTGTATCAACCACGTCGGTGTGGAGAAACGCGGGTTCCACATCGAACCGCACCGCCAATACGCATCAGCGATGCCTCGGCTCTGCGCTTGAAGCAACCCTCACGGAGCCCAGGAGACCCCGGGAGGCTCCAGAACGGAGAGAGCGAAGCTGGGGGCACCTAGGCCCAGGAACGCCCCTTCCGCA